CCCACTTAAAGGAGCAGATTTCCTGCGCGTGCCCGCGGCTGTCAAACAGACACGGGGACGCGCGTCACCGGAGCAGTTCTGAGGTGAAAGTTTTCCTCAAACACATCGTGCACCTTCCTTCCCCTTACACGTACGCGACTCTACTGACGTCAGCCTTTGCGCGCGGGGCCTGCTGCCTGTGTGACGTTCTGACGTCATTAAAACGTTTTAAGTTTAAAACTAAAGAAATCCCAGTTGTCCTGTTTACACGGCGGAAACCTGCAGTCAGCTGACTCTGAAGAGTGACGTGATGATGACGAAACGTCCAGGTGAACGCATTCAAACTTTTGGATTTATTTACCTGGATGATTGAGCATGCGTCAAAACAAAGCAACCCTAAGCTTCATCTGCTGGTCCACTGCGCCCTCTGCTGTTCGCCGTCCGTCCTCACAGCTTCGTTTATTTCCGACCACCCTACCAAACACTCACGTTCTCCTCAGTCGGGTTTAAAACGGATGTTTATTCAGAATAAAAATAAAAAATAATACATTCATCTGTGAACTATAAGGGCGACCGTGGCTCAGGGGGTTGGGAAGCGTATCTGTAACCGGAAGGTCGCCGGTTCGATCCCCGGGCTCTCTGTCCTGGTCGTTGTGTCCTTGGGCAAGACACTTTACCCTACTTGCCTACTGGTGTTGGCCAGAGGGGCCGATGGCGCGATATGGCAGCCTGGCTTCTGTCAGTCTGCCCCAGGGCAGCTGTGGCTACAACTGTAGCTGCCTCCACCAGTGTATGAATGTGAGAGTGAATGAATAGTGGCATTGTAAAGCGCCTTGGGTGCCTTGAAAAGCGCAATATAAATCCAATCCATTATTATTTTACAATGATCGAGCTGCTTTTATTAAATGAATTTATATTTTTAGAGCTATTAAAAACAGAAATGTGCTGCAAAGATCACACAGCTGCCTGTTAGCCCAGAAATATGTTCCTGGAACTGTGAAAACTGTGGATTCATCCACCCAAATCTCTGAGTACCCAAACTGGAGCTCCGCCTCCCCGGACGCTCTGTTAGCACAGTAACCTCACAGCAGCCATGTTATTGGTCACATGGTGTCTTTAAAAATGCTCCAACACCACAAACACGGTCCAGCTCAGGTGAAGCCAGCAGACAGCCGCCTGTGTCACCATTCACCTGTGAGTCAAAGAAGCCACGCCCCTAATAATAGAAACGGGTGAGTTGTAAAAACATCCTTAGGTGTTATGAAGGTAGAAATGTTTTACAGAGACGAAACAGTTTGAGTATCAGGCTGTAAACATGTTTGTTTTAACATGGAGTCTATGAGGACCGACTCACTGCTGCCTCTGCTGGACGTCAGAGGAACTGCAGGTTTGGCGCTTCAGCGCTTGCTTCATTAATCAGCTCCAGATTAAACCTCATTAACACACACAACGCTGCAGTTGCACAGTTCGGCCACCTGGTGGGACTGGAGCACAGACTTCTATTAATGTGCCTACAGGCTGGAAGCAGACTGGGGCTCTTATTTTGAAGAGTAACTCAGCTTTTAAAATGAAATATCTGCATTTAAAACAAGGAAAGAACTGAAACAGACCGTTAAACACATAAAACATCTAAACGATTATTATTATTATTATTATACGGTGACGCCACGTGACTCTGCAGTCCTTCGGGTCTGACGTCACCCCTCCCCCGCCCCCTCCCGCTCCTCTCCGTCTGACTCTGAATCCAACATGGAGAAATGAGGAGATGGGGCTCGTCCGGGGCCATCCGCACCGACACCAGCGCTCCATTTTCGGTCACCGCATTCCAGCCCGCTCCGGTGGGGGAGGAGGTGACGGAGGAGGCAAAAAAGGCGGAGGTGGAGGAGGTGAAGGAGACTGGATGAGCTCCACTGATTGAGGACTGGGAGGAGGAGGTGTTGGGGGGGGAACACTCACCGGGATTAACGCCGAGGAGGCGCGGAGGGAGCGGGGGAGGACCGGGCGCTGCTCCTGCTGAGGAAACATGAGCACCGCGCGCGCTGCCGCGGTGGGAGCTCCTTATGACCGGAGGTGAAATGGGAAACATGAGCGAGGACACGCGCCCGGACGAGTGAGTACCCACGAGAACAAACGGGCTCATCTTCGTCCTCCTCCTCAGAGGGAGCTGAACGTGAACCTCCTGCAGGAGCTCAGCAGCTCCTCCATCATCACATGAGTCATCCTCAGAGGCTGCACATGCTCAGCCTCATCTGGGCAGGCGCAGGGTGGCTCAGTGTGACTCCGAGGCCCGCTGATTTCACACACGCGCGCGCGCACACACACACAGAGGATCACTGTGAGCCACCCACAGTGTGCCCAACATCAGGGTGGTGTTTGTGTGTGGTGGGGGGCTCATATTTGATAAAACCGTCACGAGCTAATGGTTTGTGCTCACAGGTGCAGCACAACTCTGCTGCTCCAATTGGTCTGACTTTTGACCTTTTGGAGGGCGGAGCCAAATGTGATTGGTCCCTTTTACAGCCCTGTGATTCATTTACTGCCTTAACGCAAGTTTTGTGCTGGTCGAGCAGCTGTGCTGCCAGGTGGGGGCGGTGTCCACCTCGGTGTCCCGTCATCCAATGAGCTGCAGAGTCTGCAGGTCTGAGCTTGGCGTGCTGTTTTTCATGGTTTTCGTGCTTCTCTACCTCCTTTCCCCGCCACTTGTAGCCAATCAACATTCGCATTGCGCACAGCCCAGCTACACGCTGTTGGGGGTTTTGGAGGACTGTAAACTGTCTGTTGGCCGACACCACCGCAGTGCCATGAAGCAAGCATTACAGCGTGGCAGCAAGATAAGCGCTGCTTCGCTGTAATGCAGTAAACTCACCCTGTAATCAGTCTGTGGCCCCGCTGTCGGGCATCGGCGTCTCCTGCAGCTGGTAGACCCAGAGTGACCCTCCACAACTGATCCTGGACTGCAGTCCAGCAGGAACGAGAAGCTAGCTGGGACTGAGTTCTGCTACAACAGTGTCCTGCTGTCTGTCCAGCCGGTGAGGAAAGAGCTGGAGCAAGCTGGGTAACAATCAGATTTTCAAAATAAGAGAGCCACTCATTTTCCTCTGAGACAAAAGAACAGCATAACGCTCACGGCTTTGACCAATCAGGTGCCACATCCACCCACCTGATGGAGAACAGTCAGACCCTGAATATGAAACAGAAGGCTGAAGGATGTCCGGCGCTCGTATTCTGACTGTGTCTGTGCTCATTACGCCTCCTCGATCATTCACAAGCTCCTAAATCCTTCATCTTGGTAGTCGTCCAACCACATAGCAGCTTTCAGTTTGATGCTAGCTGATGGAGCTGACTGGAAGGTGAAGAGTGAGGGAACGAGTTTCTGCTGGAACAAACAGGCTCTGTCTCTTTTGGTGTTTAGAGCGAGTAGTAACTTCCTGTAATCCCTCCAGAACCATCTGCAGTGTTTCATAGTACAAACAAACCACTGCTGTTTGAACCCAACTGAGACAAACCCAGCTTGGCTCTTTGGTTTGAATCGTGCTGAGGATGTTCGGGAGGTTTATCAGGGAAGCCAACTGGGAGCCGACACTGGGGTGGACCTGAACTTGCTGGAAAGCAAGTCAGATGGACATAAACAAAAACATATAAAAGTAAAGCATCTTTCACCGCAGACAGCGCGGTCACAAAGCTCCTCGCCTGTCAAGTAATACGTGTAATTATTACTTTTACTGCAGTCTGCTGTTGTTGCTGAAAGCTGCTCTTATTTCACCTGATCAGGTAGTAGCCGAGCTTGGTATGGAGACACAGCTAGCCACAGCAAGTAATCAAGCGTCAGTGATTTAGCCTCGCACGGCGAGGGTTGAGTCTCCTCCTGCTAACATCATCATGTGACGTAGACGAGATGGAGTTTGAAAAAGTTGTTAATAACTTGGTAACATTAGAAAGGAAAGCTGTGATGATGATGATGATGAAGAGAGGACGGCAGCTCTGACCATGTCCATAAAACAGGAAGTTGGGCAGGTGCAGGCAGAGCACTTTCAGATTAAAACCCCTGTTGACAGTTAACCACATCACACTCAGTCAGGCGTGTTATTGTTACTTCAGTGAAGATGTCGGCCTGCGGTTCTGTTAACAGTCCGAGTGGCCCAGAGGACGAGGCTGGTAGTGGGTCTGGAAGTGTGGCTGGTGGGCGGGGTCACCTGTGATGGCCGTGGTTTACCTGAGACAGGTGAAGAGTGCAGACAGGCAGCAAAGTGGTGTGAAATAAAAATACTCGTGTGTTACTAATGATGACCTTTGACCTTTCTCCAGCCTTTGCTCTGAAATGTTGGCACGGGCCGTGTCTCCTTGGAGACCTACTCTGAGGTCATGACCACACAGCCTTCTTCTGACAGGACGTTTCCTGATTGCACCCTGATGTTCGATGATCAGCGACGTTCTCAGGGACGACAGTCGGCTCGTTCGGGTCTCATCTGGGCTACTTTGGGCTCAGTCAGTGGAAACGTGTTTGACGGCAAACAGAAGACACGAAGGTGTGTACCTTCCTGGTTCTGGGTGGTGTAGATGCCAGCTGGTGTGCAGATGTGGGTCGCTATCAGTCGAGGCTATCAGGAAAGCTTGATGTATTGATCCTCCGATAGAGTGCTGTCCTCTTGTCTGTGATAGTGTCATGCTCAAACCTTCAGTCCTGCTGTTTAGCTCTGAGATTCTTCCCCGTTTCACCAAAGTGAGGGACTGTTTTTTTTATCAACTGATGCTCCAAACCAGCCAACAGCGAGCTGACGCCTTCAGTCAGCTGTGACCTGACAGTCTGAGCCAAAGACTTTGGCACCTCGTCGCGCTGCTCAGCGTTTGAATTTGTAAGTTTGTTCACTTACAAAGTAAGAAACAGACTCGTTTTTATGGCACTGTCATTTTAATGGAGAGAGAAAGAAGACCATCAAACAAACATCCAGAAAAACATCATCAATTGATTTGCGTGTTCTTTGGCTCGTAGTTGTGTTTCTGTTTCACCGATACGACAGATCGGTGGTCTTGGTGACGGTGGTCCCCGCTGTCTTCATTAACAAGCTCCTCCCACCACCTTGCTCATGATCATCCTCACCCCATCTTGCACGGTGGTTGATGTTAGCAGTGACAGCAGCTGCAGGTTAACGTCCTGTGCAGAATGAGGTTGTGCATCCCTGGCGCCGTCCCTTCAAGCGGGGAAAGTGTCTGAAAATGGAGAATCAGTCGGTGAGGGACCGAAATCCAGTGTGTGTGTGTGAGCATGAGTCATCACTGCTTTGCCAGCAGTAACACACACACACACACACACACACACACACACACACACACACACACACACACACACCATCAGTTTGACAGGCAGGCTGAATCACAAAGCAGAGAAAACCTGTGTGTGTGTGTGTGTGTGTGTGTGTGTGTGTGTGTGTGGTGTGTGTGTGTGTGTGTCGGCAGCAGCAGATCTCAACAGCCTGTTGTCAATGGAGACGGATGGGACACGGTGACCGTGGAAACAGGATGTAGGAGAAAGCCAAGCAGGAGAGAGAGTCTCGATTTTCTTCGTCTTAATCCCGCCCCCGTGTTCAGTTTTAGCTTTTTTGGGGGGGGGTTAGCCGCTGGCAGGTTTCATGCCCCGCCTCCGTGAATTTGCTCTGACTGCAAGAGTCTGATCTGTGTGTCGCTGCAGAGGAAAAGAGGCTGTCCAACACTGCTCACATTCACCGTGCTATCGGTGTTATGCATTCTGATTGGACAGCGGTCCTGATGAGTGTGCTCGGTCTGGTCACGTGATCTCCCACCTTCCTGTTTCTCTGTTGCAGTGATAGTTACATAGTGCGTGTCAAAGCGGTGGTGATGACCAGAGACGAGTCGAGCGGCGGCTGGTTGGCGCAGGACGGCTGCCTGAGCAGAGTGGGCGTGTGCAGACTGCTGCCGACCGAGCTGCTGGGACGTAACACGTTCCTGATCCACGGAGAACGTCTTAAAGACAAGCAGGTGAGCCCCGAGCCTCGGCACGCACCCTCAGCACCAGGACTCAGCTCCTGCAGAGGACGGCGTCACATGACCCTGACTCTGGAGACAAATACCGCTTACTCTGTTATTATTATTAATAATATAACGTGAGCATTCACAGCTTCGCTCTGATATATGAGACACGCTGCAGATGTCTCAGGTTCCTGTTTGAGACTCGGCAGCGTATCAAAGACTTTCTGCTGTGGGTCACATGTTTGTGCATGTTGGAGGGATTTCCCTCAGTGTTGGCTCATTACTCAAAGAAATGTCATTAATTACTCAGAGTACTTCAAAGTAACTCAGTATTTTACTTCATTACTTCTGCATTTCTCCATAAAATGTCCTGAAACTCGTTGTGTCATCATCACAGTTTAACAACATGAGGTCACAGCCCCACACACCAACACGCTGCTCTGCGCTAAATCAAATCACCTTTATTGTCACATCACGTGTGCAGCTACACGGTACAGCACATGCGAGTGAAATTCTTGTGTGCGAGCTTCACAAGCGACAGAGGTGTGCAAAAAATACAATAACATAAAACAAGCAAAATATAAGGATGGTAATAAATATATGTACAATATAAGAGTGTATGCATTACTGGATGTGTGTACTAAATATGTTTTTCTACGTGTGTGTGTGTATTTTACATATTAAATAGAGTAAACAATAAATAAAATATACAGGTTGGTAGTTGCTAATGACACGCGTGATCGTTCTCTTAGTGTTTAGGTATGAACACAAAGCAAAGATGGAAACCAGCACGGTCGTCATGGTGATTCTACTGTAGAAACATGAACAGGTAGACTGTTGAAGTTCAGCTTTAACATCACTCTGGGCTCTCGGCTAGCTTAGCACTAGCATGCTGTCTGTGCAGGTGCTTGTGTTAGCAGCATAATGCGGTTGTTTCTTCATTATCTCGTCCTTTAGCCCAATAAAAATCAAAGTAGTGTCCACGTCCACGCAGACCGCCCCTATTTTCCTCTGAAATCAGCTGATTGTAGCACAAGTGCAAGAACCAATAAGCGGGATTGACATGCAAGCAGACTAACGGGTCCAAGGAATCGGACCACCGTCTCAGCTGCACCTCCATCATATTTTCAGAAAGGTTTTCGGGAGATGAACTATGGAATATGGGAGAAATTGTTCTTTTGTAAGATTTCAGTATCTCAAAGGTTTGATGATGAGTTTGGCTTCAGTTTAAGGGAGTGATAGAAAATATTTGTGAACGTGGAGGTCCTTTCCTTTGAACCCAAAGTAGTTTTTTCCATTATTAGATTCAGTCGTTGAGGTCAGAGGACGCTTTTGACGCTGTCGGTGTTTCTCGTTGCTGCCATGACATCTTTCTCGATAACGCTGTTGTCTTCTTTGTCCGATGTCTTTGAAACCATCAGGTGATTCTTGAGTGCTTCTTAAAGAAAGATCTAGTCTACACGAAGGCCACGCCCACTTTCCACCACTGGAAGGTGGACAACAAGAAGTGTGGCCTGACTTTCCAGAGCCCGGCCGATGCCCGCGCCTTTGATCGCGGCGTGAGGAAGGCCTTGGAGGACCTAACCGAAGGTAGGTGGCGATAGCTTGAGCTCTGCCTCCATCTGCATTCACGTTGTAGCTCATCAGCTTCTCTGCTGTCTCACTCCAGGGTCGACCACGTCCTCGTCCACGCTGCAGAACGAGGCCGAGCTCGGCGACGATGACGTCTTCACGGTGAGTCACGTGACCCTCCAGCCCTTCACTGTGATGGTGGCAGGATCTGTGGAGGAGTCACTGGAGCTGGTATATTTATTTTTGTCTGACTGGGAGGACACGCATGTCCTCGCAAAGTGTGATGGACGGGAGGGGGTGGGTTTCCTGTTTATGGCCAGGAACATGTCCCCATCCTGTTTGGATTAGTCACAGATACAGCACAAGCAATCTGGTGATGGTGGGAAGGAAGAACTCCCGTTTACAGGAAAGCTCCGGCAGAACCAGGCTCAGAGCAGCCAAACACCCATAAACCCCTCCTGCCTGCTCCAGGAGCTGAAAGGCAAACCTGCGTGGACACCGTGGACTCGAGCTCTCGAGTTCATGCAGGTATAAACAAAACCGAGGAGGGCTTCCAGTCTTGGAGCTCTGTCAGTAACACAGGTGTGAGGTGTGCATGCTTTGATTCCCGGAGGTTTCAGTTACTCTCTGCAGGTCCTGACCTTTCTGTCCCGTCTGTCCATCTTTAAAGAAAGCGGCGTATTGTTTCTGCAGGATGCCGGAGACGATTCAGTAATCCGTCAGTGAGCAGCTGGTTTACAACGCTGACCTCAGAGGAAGGAGCGTGGCTGCAGATCGTTTCAGTTCGGAGGATGGGTGTGTTTTTAAGGAAAATAGTTCTTGGAAAGAGCTCGACTGGGAGGCGCTCGCAGGACAGTGGACATGTAGACCAACACCAGCTGTCACAGTGCTTCCTGTCCTACAGATGGATGGAACGTATATGCTGCAGTGGACATGAAAATCTAGTTCATGCATTTATTACTTCCAGGCTGGACGACTGTAATTCATTATTATCAGGAAGTCCTAAAAACTCCCTGAAAAGCCTTCAGCTGATCCAAAATGCTGCAGCAAGAGTCCTGACAGGGACTAGAAAGAGAGAGCAGATTTCTCCTGTTTTGGCTTCCTGTTAAATCCAGAATCTCTACTGTCTCTACTTTCAAGATCAGGCTTCAAACTTTCCTTTTTGCTAAAGCATATAGTTAGGGCTGGACCAGGTGACCCTGGATCCTCCCTTAGTTATGCTGCAACAGGTGCACTGGGTGTTTCTTCTTCTCTCCGTGTGTTAACAGACCTCTCTGCACTGAGTCATTAACTCATGCTGTGATTTGATGATATATATAAATAAATCTGAATTGAACTGAAGATATAAGACATGCCGAGAATGATAAGAATGAAAACGCTGTGCTCCTTTGAACTTAACCTGCTCCTGTCCAGGTGATGTGTTACTATGCTACAGTTACTATGGTGATTCAGGAAACTTTCCCTCGCTAATCAGGCTGCATAGCGCCTCCTCTGGAAACACCTTTTCTCCTTTTCTCCTCCAGACTGCCACCGACAGCTCGTCCAACTCGTCCCAGAAGAGAGAGCCAGTGATGCGCACGCTCACCCCGCCCACCTTCTGTGAACCCCGCCGGCACCACTGCATCCTGGGACATTTGTATGAGCAGCATCGGCCCACTGAGCACTACTTCCTGGACCAGGTGAGTACGGTAAGAGCGAGAGTCTCGTTTCTAATTGGTCAGAATGATAAAGCGACTGTGCTGCTGATGTGACAGACAAACACCGCTTTATCCTACGCCGCCTTTAAACACGCTCCACCTCCTCCTGCAGGCGGTGCATATGTTTCCTCGTCACGTCAGCTTCCAGTTGGAGGACGAGGAGGTCGTACGCATCAACCCCCGCGAGCGGACCTGGCTCACCGGCTACGAGGACTACCGCCACGCCAACTCCTCACGCGACAAACTCGCCCAGCTCCACAACCCGGACACTTGCGTGCACTTTACCAAGAGCGAGCCGGCCAAACGCGACTACGCCTACCCGTATCCTCTGAGCTGCGACAGAAAACCCAGCTGCCTGGAGATGGGCGGCGGCCACAGGGCGGTGCTGACGGTGCAGCCGCGAGCCCCGGAGCTCAAAGGCAAACTGCGGAAGGAGGACGCAGAGCGCTCGCGCTGCGTTTACTGTCAGGACATGTTCGATCAAGAGGACAACGGGCGGGGCCGCTGCCACGAGGCGCCCGACCCCATTCAGACGTGCATCCGGCGCGTGACCTTCATGTGGTGCGCGGACAGCCTTCTGTACCACTGCATGTCCGATCCAGAGGGGGATTACTCAGACCCGTGCTCCTGCGACACCACCGACGAGCGTTTCTGCCTGCGCTGGACGGCGCTGGTGGGCCTGTCGCTGCTGGCTCCCTGCATGTGCTGCTACGCCCCCCTCAGGGCGTGCTACCGCTGCGGCGTGGCCTGCCGCTGCTGCGGCGGGAAACACAAAGCTGTGGGCTAAGGCGTTGCAGGCCCCGCCCCTTCCACAGTGACAGCTAGGACTCGCAGCAGGAAGCGGGGCGTTGGAGGTCCCTGTGATTTCTACGTTGTTGTCGTTTTGTCGTCGTTGTCGGTCTTCATAACTCCAGCTGCATCTTGACGTGCAGAAGCTTCTGTATGAGTCTTACATGATCAGTACGTTTACGCAGACGTTATATTTTTACACTCATGTGTCCAAGCGGCCGGACGCGTGGGTGTGTCTGTATGAATGTTGCTTTAGCGCCACCCACACGCTGCACCACCCGTCACAAAGTCAGCGGCTTCACTCGCTGCTGTTAGCCGAAAAAAGCTTTTTTCTGTTCGCCACCAGAAAAATCACGTGAATCAGCGAATCAGCGAACACGGTGCTCCTGATGCTGAGCTGACCAAACCCTAACTCAAAGCTAAGGGGTCAGAGGTCGAGCCCCTGTTCTCTGAGGGTCATACCGTTAACACAAACCAAAGAGAGACCAACAAAAGTCTACAGCTGCCGTGTTACTAAGCCTCGTGAGGTTTCAGCTTCGTGACGACGCACTCACTACAAAACGTGCACGCGTCATATCCTCGCCGTCCGTCTGTGATTGCGTGAAAGCCGCTCGTTGAGCTCTCAAACTCCAACGAAGAGCGTTCATGTTGAGTCGAGAGCGCATTTGTTCTCGCCGCTCGTCACGTTTCGAGCTGCAATGGCGCTGGACATCGGCTCGCTCGCCTTTCACTTCAAAGAAAACGTCATTAGTCCATTTCCTGGACTACGCAGCGTCCACCTTCGCTTTCTTGACGGCTGCCACGACTCTTCATCATCTGCGGCGATCCTGTGATGGCGTACGTCACCTGATTTTGACTCAGACATACGCAGCCGTGTATGTTCGATTTATTCGTGCGTATGTAAAATACAAACATTTCATTGCTTTGGTCTCGCCAGCCGTACACGACCCGGAGGCCGAGGTTGCCCAACCCTGCTCTAGTGTATTTCCTAGTCCACAGCCAGCCAATCAGCACTGTTCTTCACTCTCATTGGTTGTTACCGAAGCTGCTTCAAATGGTAAATGGCCTGTATTTGTATAGCGCTTTTACTAGTCCCCTCTAGGGACCCCAAAGCGCTTTACACACCCAGTCATCCACCCATTCACACACTGGTGGAGGCAGCTACAGTTGTAGCCACAGCTGCCCTGGGGCAGACTGACAGAGGCGAGGCTGCCATATTGCGCCATCAGCCCTTCTGGCCACCACCAGTAGGCAACGGGTGAAGTGTCTTGCCCAAGGACACAACGACCGAGACTGTCCGAGCCGGGGCTCGAACCGGCAACCTTCTGATTACAAGGCGAACTCCCAACTCTTGAGCCACGATCGCCCAACAGAGTAGAGCAGCGTTCCTGCCGTCAGTACAAGTGGCTGACTTTGATCAGTTTGATGGTGAAACATGTGTTTCACTGTGCTGGGAGCTCTGGTTTCTGATCCTTACAGTGGGTATTTAACTGGTTTCAGGTTAACTGGAGCGGGTAACCCAGCAGGTCTGACCAGTGTGATGATGACCATTTCTAGAGACAGAATGATGATGAGCGAAGCACTTCCTCAGTCCTGATCACACCTGAGAGTTTCCTCTCAAATTTAGGATCCGATGCGCTCGGGTGCGGTCTGCGTGCATCTACCACTGCGGGCAGTCTGTGGTCCGGGAACGCCCCCACAGACGCCCCAGGCACTGTCAGTGGGGGTGTTCGTGCTGCATGCTGCAGGTGATGGCAGCTCGCTTAAAAAACCTTCCAGATGCATCGAAGTAAAAATGTTGAATCCTTGAAGGTCCCGGGTCGCAGGAAGCTCTGCGTCGAGCAGCAGACGAGAACATTGCGCTGAACACAACAGCTGGTCTGAAGTTTAGTGACGCGGACGTGTCGCTCGATGTCAGAAGAAGAGATTTCAATCTGAACAAATAACCAATCGTGGAGATCATCCGCTGGCGCTCTACTGTTCAGAACATCTGCAGCGATGCGGTTTCTCCACTTCACGGCCAAAAGCTCTCGACTATTAAAACTCTCAGAATAATGTTTTAATGCAGCTGGAAGATGATCCTGGTGTCACATGTCGGTGCAAAGACGACCCTTCATATCCCCTGACCTGTTTAAACTTTTAAAATTCCCGTCCCCCAAGACGCTTTGTTGGCTCTGTGCATGGGTCACGTTGGCCCCTCCCACACGCTCTTACTGTCTGCTGACATCATGACCCGGTGATGTCCAGCGGACTCTATTTTTAGTTTACGGCTGACGTCAGAATCTAAACGGTGCCACCTGTAGGCTGAGAGCAGTATTACAGTCTTGTGACGTCATCCAGTAATAAATATGAACAGCAGGTGTGAAACAGTAAAAGTCTATTTTATAAAACTGACCTGTAATATAAACGATTTCATTATGAGCTTCATTTTTATAGAAGACGTGTAGCTGTCGTCCGTGACGTGAAACATACGATCAGCCTGTAAGATCCCACGCCGCCGCCGCCGCCGCTCAGCAGGATCGCCCGTCTGTCCGACCTGCGTCTCTGCTGACGTGTCCCTCGTGTGTTTTCCTGTCTGTGGCGAGGAAGGTGAACTGAAAGCAGTGTCTTTGTTTGTTAAAGGAAAGTGCCTGAAGCCTCCTCTTCATCCTGTCCTGATGTACGTTTCCCTCAATCATGTGTAAAGAATATAAGGTGAATTCATAAGTTTGTCTTTTTATATATAATTCACATTTGTACCTATGTAAAAAAACAAAAACACAAAAAGATTCTATATAAATCTATGTATCAGGTGTATGATGTACATTTTCAGTTCTATTTTTTTATTGTTTCTATTATGTGAGTGAGCTGAGGAGATGAATAAACACAAATGTCATCTGGAAATGAAAGGAAACCACTCGGATGGTCAGTCTGTGCGTCTGTCAGGTTGTGGGAGTGGCCTAAAGCATCAGCCTGTGCGTGAGCACGCTGTGAGCAGATGAACGCTTACAGTCAAGAAGTCCCCGAAAATCCTTTCGTACGGTTTCTCTGGGAACAGTTTCCGTGTGTGCAAACATCTTTCCTTTATGAAATATGAAAAACTTCCCACCTGACCACGTGAGATGTGCAGTAAAAATTCCTTTTAGCAGGAATATTGAAATGCTTCAGCTCCCCTCGGTCATCAGTTTTACACAAAAACATCAATTACAAATTCCTTTTAGCGAAGCTTGGGCTGCTCCTCAGGAGCGGAGCTCAGCTGAAGACATGGTTGAAGTTCCTGAAATATTCGGATGGACCAAATCCACGTGAGCTTCATTGGAAAGGCTCGGACAGTGTCCATAATATTCAGCTGATTCTGCAGGTGTCTGTGGGTTGGGTACTTTAGCATCTAGCTAGCCCTGCAGAAGAGGAGCGAGCATAAAGGCAACATGTGGCAGGTAATTTGAAATGTGGCGTTTCTACAAACATCACAAACTTTGTCTCAGTGTGTTGCAGCTAAAGGTCCAGCTGCTTATTTCACAGGGAGAGACCAGACAGAGCAAAGTTCACTCAGAGATGGACAAACATGAGAGAGGACAGGAGAGGAAGAGGAGAGCTTAGAGTTAAAGGAAGGACGCTCATTTAAAGCTCACGTGGAAGTTGTTGTGAAATCTGTACGTGTCACATTATGTTTGTTCATAAAGCTGCGGATAAACAAACTGAGGCAGAGTAACGGTTATTTAAAGGCTGCTGTGCAGGACGTCTGTACTGTTGCCAACCCCGCAGAAGTGTCAACAGCTCTAAGACTGAACATTCAAGAATATTTGTAGTTTATCCAAAAAATCCTTTTAGTTTTTTCTTTACAGAAGCCAGGTTTGTGTAAAAGTTTGTTCGTCCTCAGCTGAGGGAACTCGGTTACCATGGTAACCCCACCTGCTCTCTGACTCCTCCCCTCCTGCTGCACCTGCACCAGCTGACTGACCCTCAGAGTGGGCAGAACTTTTTAAAATCTCTGAAATCACAGCTGATCGTTTCTAATCATCCAGTCGACGATATACGAGGACTGATCAGTGATTGGTTATCAGCTCAGGATCATCACTGGAGGCTGAGCGCTCACCTGGATCACCTGGTCCTGGTTGTCCTGTCTTCATCTTTTTATGGATTTTGCATTTTTTGTGTTTGAAATAATCAGAGACAGGAAGTGACACAAAATTCAAAACCTTCAACTAGAGTGTAATAAAGACCAGGAACAGGACAGAGCTGAGGTACGGAGGTCTGAGAGTGCCACAGAAGCCTTTAGAGCTCAGAGTTTAAGGTCTTTGTGGAGGAAGATTACTTTCTATTCCATCTTTAAGAAAAACTTAAAAAGCAGAAAGAGTTTTTACTTTGCTGCAACTTAAATGTTTTCACCGTCTTGCAGCCGTTTGGCTGTGGGGACGTACGGATTTGGAGGGAACCTGCAGCAGCACCTGGATGTGCTCCTCCTCTCGTCCCCCAGTGTTCGTACACGCAGACTCCTCTGTAGCAGAGGTTTGGGGCATCGAGCGCCCGTCCTGTTGGAGGCGCTGTCGCCTCGCTCAGTGATGGCACGCTGAGGTTTGCCGGATGTTCTTCTGACTCTGCGAGCGGTGTGCACGGCTGTACCCACAGGACCAGCAGACCAGGTTCAGCCTGTGGTGCCTGCTCCCGTCTCTACCCTCGTGCAGGGCCTGAGGTACGTCTTGCCAGACATTTTATGAACAGGAAGCATTGTTAAAGCATTACGTGTGACACTTTATTTCGACAGGAACTTCCTGTTTATGACCCTTTAATAAAAACTGTAGTTTATGTGCGACATTTATGTTGTGTAGTGTAACACTGAGGGTCGCGGGAGCCTGCGTACGATACGTACGTGTGGTTTCTGACACTCGAGCTAACTTCAGACCCTCCGTCTGCTCGCACAGGAAGCTTCTTGAGATCTGATTGGTAACCAGGTGCTGCCCTCTAGCCTGCTCCAGTGCAGGTCACATGTGCAGCACCAGTTACCATGACAACGTTGAATGACATTAAGGTGGTTTTACCTTCATTTGTTTCTGGTTTAGTTTAAGCGGCCTGAAGCCTAATAAAGTGAGCGCTGGGCGTGCCCAGGTGTGAGGTCTGACAGGAAGTAAAGAAAGACAGCAGGAGCACGAGCAGTTATCAAAGATCTCCTTCATGGTTTAATATTTGAATTTGTGCCACAAAAACGTCACGTCCGCAGCCACAAATCACGTGCTGAGATTTCTACGTGCAGCGCGTCGCCGCCGCTGCTCTACTCTGCAGATCATACATGTATGTATAAATATGTACAGTTTGGAGCTTCTTCTTCAGCAGGGCTCTTCTCCGGGCGTGGTTGTGCTGTAGGTGGAGAAACATGGGCGAAGGAACCCGTCCAGATGCAGCACATGCTTATGGGCGCGTACAGGAATGTTAGGGGGGGGGTGGAGTTCTCAGCCAACAACACGAGAGCGCCGAAGGCAAGAATGTGACGAGGGTCTGCGGCCTGAAGGCACGGCATTTTCAGGGCGGCCCTGTGAAGTTGGATCAGTGGGGGCGGGGCGGGGGCGGGGCATGCATGATGCTGGTTTAAGCATGTGCTTCACTGGGCGGGCCGAATAACTCGAGCTGTGAGAGGAGACGGGGGCGGGGCTTCACTGTTAAAAATGGGACACGTTGCTTTACTTTTAGGAAATTAGAAGAAAGCCCGGTGTGGGTGGGGGCGAGGGCGGGGTCTTTGACAAAGGGGTGGGGCCTGGTGGAGCTGCACACACAATTACAAACCACTCAGTCTCTCTCTCACTCGTGCTGTCTCATTCTCTCTCTCTCTCTCACACTCTGTGGTTGCCATGGTTACATTGAGACTCGGGGGAGGGGCGGGTTCGGCGTGTGGCGGTTTCGGGCCTCAGCAGCAGCCCCCAGACGAGGTGTTGACTGGCTTGCTCTGGATCTTGACGTTGGACTTCTCGGCGGCGCCGGCCGTGGCGCCCGGGCCCATCCGCTTCTTGATCTCGGCCGCCATGGTCATGAAGGCCTGCTCCACGTTGGTGGCGCTCTTGGCGCTCGTCTCCAAGAAGGGGATCCCCAGGTTATCTGCAAACTCCTACAGAGGGAGGAGGGGCACACTGTGAGTGGATCGCTTCACATCAAACA